TTCACATCAACAAGAGAGAGGGGTGCCTAAACCCTTCCCTCTCTCTCTCTCTCTCAACTTACCCGAAATAGCCTTGTCTAGGACGGATAGTATGGAGTCACTAACAATTCTAAAACGTTTTTACCGATTTTAATTCCGGGAGATCCATCACTCCCCATTATGGATTTCTGATGGGTGGTGACTCCATAACTTCAGCCATGAAGTGAACAGTCGGCGGAGGTATTTTCCCGACGTTAACATCAGCGAACTGGAGATTTTGTGAGCTAGAAAGCAAGAGAGTTGTGAATGTTAAATCGTGGGTACCTTGTGAGGCTGGAGGCGAGGTCTTTATATAGGCGAGCTGCTATGGACCTCACGATGCGTGTCCAAGATCTTCAGCCCGTTTGGTCTGGAGTTGGTTTTGCACCTGAAGACGGACTGATTTTGTGTAAGCTGATAAGGCTTATCTAGATCCATCCGAATCAGGAGGGGAGAAGATAAACTTCATTGACATGGTGTCGTGATCCCGAGGAGAACAGAGATAGTTGGCTTGTTCCTGGATAGAGGTTTCATGGAACCTCGACAGATTAGTCCATATAGCTGAGCTATTTGAGCCTCAATCTAGCTAGGTGACCCGAGGTGCGCGAGGTGGCTTGGATAGCAGAGATCACCGAGGTTGCTGAGGTGTCAACTGATCGCTCTGTCACTCCACGTGTCGTCACATCATTTGACGGGCCAAATTACCCCTCATCAATTATGAATTTATGATGTGAAAGAAATGCTAGGATATGATTTGATAATTTGATAAATTTTAAATTATTGAGGTTATTAATAGTTAAAAAATAATAATAGTAATTTTTAACATGATTTTACAATTATTATAAAAAACTATTGAAAAATATTGATAATTCAATAATAATTATTAATAATTATTTTGTTATTCAAAATTTGATAATTTCAGTAATTGTTATTATCAATTTATTAGTCATTCTTAAGAATAATTATCTACAATTTTGAAAATTAATAACCTCAATAATTTTGAAATTACCAATAATTTCAAATTTATAAAATTATCAAATTATTGGGTAACAAAATTACTGTAAATACTCAAATTTCCATAATTATAAAATTTCTGAAATAACAAATTATTGAATAAAAAAATAATTTTAGAAAAACTATTAAATAACAAAAGTTATTTTAATAATTACTGTTATTATTTTTGAATTATCAATAATTTCCAATAAAATTGAAATTATCAATAATTTCTATAGGACAATTATAATTCTTATTATTATGTAACTATCATATTTGAAATTATTGTATTTATTATTATTATTATTATTATTATTATCATTATTATTATTATCATCATCATCATCATCATTATTATTATTATTGTTATTATTATTATTATTATTATTATTATTATTATTATTATTATTATTATTATTATTATTATCATTGTTGTTGTTATTATTATTTAATAATAGTTATTATTATTCAATAATTCTTGTTATTATTATTGATTTTCTCATAATTACCCTTAATGAAAATAGATAAAAATAAAAAATTGAAAATAATACAATGATGATTTTAGTTTTAAAACTAGTGTTATTATCAATTAATTATCAATAATTTTCATTTTTAATAAAAAAATTACTGAAATTAGCATAATTATAAAATTATGAAATTATTGAATAAGAAATAGTTATCAACAATTGTTTTGAATAACAAATTTTAAATAATTTTCAGTTATTTCTAATAATAAAACTATTGAAAATTACTTTAAATAATAATAATTATTGGAATTAGCATAAATATAAATTACCAAATTATTAGATAACAAAATAATGGTTTTCGTATGGCATTTCTAGGGTGTTAGTAAGGATTTTCAATTTTTGTACTGTTTTAGGAGGCATAGGAGGATGGTGTTTTGTTCAAAACACGAGTTAGATATCACGATTGGGGATTATGATATGTTGATTCAATGACAGACTTCAAGTTATTGGCACACGCATGGTAGAACAAAAAGATGCTCTAGCAAATCTTCAATTTCAAGCCAATTTAGCTCAAAATGTCCTAAGAATAGATTCAGTTGACGGTAACACTTCATAAACCCTAAACTTATAACTTTTACTTGTTCTTTGCACCAATCTTTATTATTTTTAGTAGTTGATGAGCTTTAAAATTGATTGTATTGGGTTATTGTTTGCTATGAGCATTCAATCATTTTTTTTTTCATCTAACCATGTAAAGTATATCGAATTATGAGTAAATCAAATTGGTTCAATTTAACTTGGTCCCCACCCTGATGATTAGCTTATAATCTTAAATTATTTGATTATATGCTAAAGTGGGTTTATAAATTGATAAAGACTTGAGTCATTATTATTTTTATGTATTATTTTTCATACTTCAAATATATTCTTTTAGCAATAATAACGAGATTTACAGCCTACATGACAATATTGGGTCACCGATGCGCACAGCCCACCCGACTCACGACCTTTGTTTGTTCATCATGAAACCCTTATAGCATAACAGGACAAAATATAGATGGGCTTTTTTTATTTGGGTTCATTACTAGAGAGAGTAGAGACCATCGGAGCCAATCCACTTCCATTTGTGCCTTTGTCTGCTATCGTGGTGGAACCCATATTTATTCTTGCCCATGAGTTGGAAGGCATTAAACAGAGGCTGGTGGAAGCCCACTTCAGAGGTCTGACCTCCCTTGTTTTCAAATCTGTATCAGGTATTAACAGAATGGCCACTTGGTTTGAAGCATTCCCATAAATCCTTTTTTCTCTCTGGCCTTCTAGGAAATCCGAGTCCCACCCATTGTAATTGGGTCGACCCTCCATTGGGCGGTCCCTCGTCTTCCATGGAGATAAAAACCATGTGGGAAGTATAAATAGAAAAGCTCTATCAATAGCTCTTTCCTCCCTCAATCCTCACCTTGAAAAAGCATAGTTCGAAACCAAAGGTCACGATCCCCACTTGAATTTAAAGATCCCTTTGTTTCTGGTGATCCTCCTTTACCTTATCATGTACAAGGGAATATACCACGTGCTGGAAGCACGTGCGCACAAAAGGGAAGGATGTGGGAATTCTTGTTTTTCTCAGGCCAAGATTGTTAAGTCAATAAGTCGAACGCCTCCTGATATAAAATCTGGACCGAAGCCATGTGCGTCATGTCCTCCATTTGGGATGCCGCGTACGTGATCCCCTCAGCCCCTCGCCTTGCTTTTTCCTCTTGACTTTTGTGCCCACCGAAAACGTCTCCCTCGTCCTCGAATGGACCTCTCTACGGCTCTACCTCCTCTCTCATCTAATTCCCTGTGCTCACGTTGCCATGTGTATATTTGGTCGTGATTTTAGAATTTACACGCTTATACTTAGCAACATTTTAAAAAACGGCCCAAAAATGGAACCATTCTCACCACTGGTTTTCGGGTTGATGGCTCGATCGTCCGGTTCGAATGGACGGTTCGCTTTATCAGTAAAATTAAAAAAATTAAAAAATAATTAAAAATGGTCAAAATCGTTGAACAGGTCGATGGATCGACGGTTTGACCTCCCAAGTCAACGGTTTGTTGACTTTTTCAATGGTTTTTTATCAGATTCTGGGTTTGGGGTAAAACGGAACCAGTTGCCTGGACGGTTCCTGAGCTGAACGGTCCGACTGTCCAAATCAACAGCAGTTCAAAAACGTTGATACTTAGGATGTTTGGTGTTGGATTCAAGCCATTCCATTGGAAACTAATGGTAATTTTTTGTCAAATTCTGCCTATAGATTGAAATGTGGTATTATTTCAAAACCAATAAATAGTTTTAATTGGAATAAGAACATTTGGAAGCTAAAGTGTCTACCAAAACTTCAAGTGTCTATGTTCCTATTGTTGAACAATTGACTTCCCTGTAAGTCTCTTCTTAGACGCAAGGATTTCAATATTAGATGGTGGATGTGATGTTAGTGGTGAAGATGAGGATGTGAATTATATTTTTAGAAAATGTTTTATTGCAAAGAATTGTTGGGGGATTATTCTCCCAACTATTCAAGGGCTTGAAGATCAAGACAGGTCCATAAAAGATTAGTGGTTGGACCTTTCAAAGAGTTTGTTGCTCGAGAATGAATGACAAAAGGAAAAATGTGTATTCCTGTTATGGCATTGTGGAAGATTAGAAATTTAAGGGTTTTTAAGAATCTTTCGATTCTTTAATATAAGGTCATTGATAATGTCCTTGACTCAATTATGGAATTTCAAGAGTGCAAAAACTAGTCTAATGATGAAAGTTTAACCAAAGATTGTAGCTATATAAGTTGGGAGCCCCTTGATTTGGGAGTGATTAAAATTAAGTTTGATGCTTCTTAGATGGAGGATGGTATGTACACCATTGCGGCTCTTGCTAAGAATCACTTGAGTGCAGTTTTAGATATTAAAACTTATAAATTGGATTTTACCTCCATTAATAGGGCGGAAGCTTGGGCTACTTGGGAAGCCCATAATTTGGCCTTAAATTTCAAAAACTTTCCTCTCATAATTGAGGGTGATTCCAAGATAGTGATATCTTTAACAAGTTAAATCTGTGTACATGAAACCTGAGGAGTGTCATTCAAGACTGTTGGGAGCTCAAGGAAAGATGCAAGAAAGGGATCATCTACAAACATGTATTTCGTAACAAAAAACAGACTGCAGATTAGCTGGCTCACCATGTTCATGAAGCCCAATTGTCGAGTGATAACTGTATCTCTCTGAACCTTTATAAGCTATTTTGGCCTTTTGCGTTTATTTGCTACGGTGATTTGTGGGATGTGCTACCCCCTTTTGTATCCTACGTTTGTTAAAAATAAAATAAAATAAAATAAAAAACAAAAAAGCCATTGCATTGAAATATTCTACTTTCTCAAAGCTACATCCATGACAATTTGTCCAATCAATCTACGAGCCCTCCGAATAAATAAATAAAACCTTTTGCTTTATAGCTAATATGATATTATTATGTGTTAAACAAACCCGATTGAACCATTAAAAAACCCAAAATAAATTCTTTCCAAGGTCATTCGAACTCCCTCCCCAATTCGAGACTCTCTTTCCTCCGAGCCCTAACTCAAACATTCCACTGGCCACTCACCACACCGGCGTTCGTGACCGTGGAATGGCAGGAAGCATTCTGGCAGGTACTCTGCAATTTTTCTGTGGGTTTCATTATTCGCATTCCTCTTCTTCTTCTTCTTCCAAACCTAACGTTATTTTTGTTTTTCTATTTTCAACAGATCGAACAACCCTTAACAGTTCATACCGGTGGTTAGCATTCATCGGAACAAAGGTAATCTTGTGCTTCTTGCAGTCACAGGAGATGGAAATTGTTTTCGAAGCAACAAAATACCTGCGTAGCTTTCCTCAGTTATGAACTAATCCCTGTGTTTATAGCGTGGGAACTTGAGAAACCACCATTGCAAGAACACGAGATTATCGCTGGCTTGAGAAAGCAAATGCAAAAAAAAGTTTCAGAGCACCGAAGAATTTACTACTTGCACATAACCCATGCCTTTGAATCAACATAGTAGCTAATCTAGATTAGGAAAATTCTTTTTTTTGTCCCCGTGTTTTCTAGAAATTACTGAAATTTCTAAGACATGCCTGTTATCTTATCATCGACAGCGACATAGGAGGTATCAATTGAAAAAGAGAACCCACCTCCTACAGGTGCCTCTAAGTATATGTGGTTATGGTGCTTTTATTTTTTGTTTGAAATCATTGCTGTCAGATACAACGTTTTCGTATTGATACCCATTATCCAGTACCACATCGCTGCCCTATTCGCAACAATGAGCTACAGCTTTAGGAAATGCTAAATTTGATATTGTTCTAAGTAATGGCTTTCAGATTTCTGAGACATAGCTTGGAGCACCATTTTTATGGAAAAATGGTTCCAAACAACTATGTGATGCCGTTGCTCTAAGAAATGGCAACGATGCCAAACAACTGCTAAGTATAGCATATTTGCTTTCTGCAAAACAGAGAAATATACAAAAGAAAAAAAAAATAGTCGGGTGATGCAATTCATCTATACCCAGAAAACCCATATGAGAGAATGAGATGGAATTGCAGACCTCCGTTTAACCAGAGAACAAGGGGCTTGGAAGACGGATCTATTTCTGCTTCAACAAAGTAGTAGAATAGAGCTCTATTTCTTTTTGTCCACGGTAGCAAAACTTGAGAACTGCTGAAAACTGACTTGGGGTTGGCCGGCTAACGTAGTAATTTTATTAGAAATAGACAGAGAGGCTGCAATCTCCAAGAAAAGGAACAGCTGAAATAGAGTTGTAAGAGCGGCAATGGCATTACACCGGATGCTAATGCCGGACGTCGGTCGTTGTGGTCATTGGTGGCCTAGTCACTGGATGCCAAGTTCGGATGAAAGACGGTGGAAGGGGAGTTCAAATGACGGATCAACTTTTTGTATTTTAGTGGCCGATTCGACTAGTTGGCGTTAGTACAGAACCAACTAGCCACCCATAAACGTAAACGTAAACCAAATGCCCTTATAGTGTGTATCTTGTTCCATGGGCGCTTCGTGATAGTTTATCAAAGTGTCATTAAATTAATATTTTTTTTATTATATTTATTCGCATACAGTATACATTGATATTTATAAAAGTGGGTTTTAATTTATATATGCATCAATCATTTGAGAAGCTTCTTTTTAACACTTCCCGTAACGATTGAACGTTTATTTACTATTCCACTGATGTAGTGCCTAATGGCACCTAATTGCTCATAAATAATCTATCAATTATTTTTCTCCATTTTGAAAATAAATAAGTACATATGTGTATTTAATAAACAAAAGTTATACCAAATACATGCTTAAACTCCACTATATTGCATAAGAGAAGCCTAACTGGGCCATCAGTCTGATGCCAAAACAAGAGCTCTCTTAGGAGGGCTGCAAGCAGCACAATCATATGGTATTACCCATCTTTTGGTATACTCAGATGGCACAGCCTTAATGGAATTTACTACCACAGATAAACCAATCCAATGGTCTGACCATCTCCACCAAAGCTACTTACAAAGACAAGTTATTAAGTTTGTACATATGAATAGAAACAACAATCAAGTTGTTCATCTTTTTGCTTACTTTCATGTAAGGGCCGCATATCACTGCACTACAATGTAGCTAACTCCCCCATGTAAGACATATATAACTAATTCAAGGCTGTTTTTTTATTAAAAAAAAAAAAAAAAAAAATCTCCGCTATCGCTACGCAGCTGACTGGTGAATATCACTCACTCAGGCTTCGCTTGGCTCTCAATTTTGACAAGTCTTTAATGAGATTGAGGTCCACGTAACTAGTCACCTGCCTTATTTTCAAAAGTAAAGAGCGACCATTAATTGAATGGAATCCAACTAAGATAATGGATCTGTTTATTAAAGGTTATGATATTTGGCATTTGCCAAGCAGCAGAGAAATTCCACTTAATCTAACCATCATGCCTTCTTCATCCAGTAGATATGATGCGCCAGCTGGCTTACCTGTACAACATGCTCAATTAGAAGTCCACATCAGTTGTAGTGACCACTAGAGATATTGCTGTAGCGGTCCAATTGTATTTTGTATATAAATATTGCTTTATTTGCTTTTATCATTTTGGCTTCGTTGGTCAATTGATAAATCGGGGAGGGGAAAGTTGGTATATGAAAAAAGTTGACCAATTTTCATGTATTCAATTAGAAAACTCTGTAGGTTTCATAGTAAATTCTCCCCCTGATAAATTTTTTAGGACACATTTGAATCCGAATTGAAATCAGCTGGGATGGGAGTTCATTCCTACGGGTGGGGGTGTAGGAAAGGACATTCTCTTAAATTGGAGAATGTCATTTCATGATAAATGAGAATGGATTCCATCCGACCAAATAATTGAAATTGCGATGGCCTATTTCAATTCTAAACCCCTATTTTTGTAAACCAAATGATCCCTTAATCATTTAGGACAAATTTATCCCTCTACCAAGTAGATAAGTTAATTTTCTATATAGGGAAGGAAATTAAAAGATGCCAAAATTAATTACTAAGATGCCTCTGAAAAAATAAGTGAATAAGTGATCGGCACAAGGGTAAGCATGTAAATATGGAAAAATTTAATGATAAAAGAATCCGGGTAAGTGTATTTTACTCGGGAAAATGTCATTTAAATACACTTACCCAAAATAAGTAACTTACCAATAAACAAATAAGACCTTTATATCTTAAACTTAATTCTATCACAAATTTTCATGTTTATGGATATGAAATTGAACAAAACTGAATAATGTAGTGTTTATGTAACCAATGTTTTAAAAACTGACCTAAAATTGAAACCGTTTTGGCCATTGGTTTCTAGGTCAGTGGTTCGATCATCTGATTCAAATGGATGATCCATTCCAATATATATATTATATTTTGCCACAAAACAAGTTAAGGGTGAAACGAAACTAATTGCCTGGAAGGTTCTTGGGCCGAATGGTCTAATCATCCAAGTCAACAATGGTTCAAAAATACTATATAACATGATGCTTCTCAATTCGAGATGGTGCACGAACTAAGGAGAGCAACCAAATAATCCTTGCTGGCAGGGCGGGGCCGAGCTACAAGGACGAGGCCGCGCTTCAAGACCTGCGATCAAGAAAGGAGAAGTCAGAGGCCCGAGGAGTTATCCCCGAGTAAGTACTCCGACGCTCAAGTCAGTAGGATGTGGTAGATGGTCGGGCCAAGCTATAAGGATGCTGGTTCGAGCTAAGTGACAGTACGGGTGTCAGAAGTTGGATCCCTTACCTTGAGCATGTAGTACATTTTTATAGCCGAAAATCCGTGTCCTGGTCGGATTGGGATTCTTGGGTTGTCGGGATGAGCGGTATTCAGGATAGTGTCTCCTTCTCCAACGGAGTCGTCTTCCTTACTCCTCTTTATCCATAGTCATGCTCATCCATGTGATGTATGGCTGAAGTGGCTGAAAGGATAGGATGGGGGGTTACAATAATAGCGTAGCTCAACTGAGCTATGCTGATGTGGCCGAGCTAAGCCGACGTAGCCGAGAGATGACTGGGCAGCCACGTATCTCTCAGGACCAGCTCAGCCATAACTGAACATAACTAATCCCATATAATTTGGGCAAGACTTAGATGATGATTATAAATGCTTATCCAAAATAGATCTATAAATATATGGTGTACTTCATGATCCTTCTTGCTCAAAAATATGTCGTATTAAGGCTGGATATTTTATTTTCAAACTGACGTTCATAAGAGTGCTCGACACTTCATGGAATGAGCAAAGATAAGCTCTTCATGCATAGTTGTTGAAATTTTGTTTGAGGATTTGGTTATGGAATCTTGATCCTTTTTCTCTGTGCTGTACATGAACATACACAATTCGTAGAATGAATTGAAATAGTGCCCGTATATCATATATAGGAACAATCAATTGCTATGTTGCTCAGCTCAGAGAATCTAGACCAACTATCATTCTTGAGTCTTGCCTAAGTATGCACAAAGATTAAAAGAAAAGGAAAAAAATAATAATTACATGACTTTTAATGATAAGATCTTTAAGTTATTCTTAGACCTCTTACATTAACTCCCTTGGGGCCAAAAATATTCAGGTTATTAAATTATAGGATAAATTGTAAGTTAGTATCATGTATTTTGGGCATAATTTTACTTTGGTACCTTAATTTTAAAATGCGCCAGTCTACATGAACTTTTAAAATGTCCTAATTTACTTCCTGCCATTAGTAGTCTGTCAATTATCTTTATCACGTGATGACATGTGTTATTTAAAGTTTTTGAAAATGTCAAAATTATCCTTCGAAATAACATACTGTTATCATTTTCTTCCTCAAGAATCAAGATTGAACTAAAGCAATGATGAACAATCGGAATGACATTTGGATGATTGATAAAGAAAATTAGATGATATTGGAAGGGCATTTGCATCTTTTCACATGACACTTAATGGTGGTTAATGTTTTGGACTAAATTGGAACGTTTTGGGAGTTCAAATACTAGATTGGCACATTTTGAAATTCGGGTACCAAAGTGAGACTAGGCCCAAAGTATAGGGTACTAATATGCAATTTACCCTAAATTATATTATCATCCAGTCATCTTGATTTCAGTCTAGCTGATAATCTAGACTTGTACAGGTGGCAACTCAAAGGAACCTCTTATCCCTTGTGACAAAAGTCCCTTAAATGTAACGTTGCACAATATGTATGGTATCAATTTTCCCCATGGTTTATTAACTAATAACTTTAAGGATCTGTTTGGTTCACGGAAACAGGGATTTAGAAATTGTTTCCAATCATTTGATTGAGTGGAACTGGAATCTGATTTATATTTTCTACTGGAATGACACTTTTCCATTTGAGGGGAATGGTCATTCCCTCCCCTCCTCATTGGGAATGAAAAATCCCATTTCAGCCAATTCCAATTCCAATTCCCATCTAAACCAAACAAATACGGAATAGATCACTGTGATTCCAATTCCGACTACGATACAAATGGGCTCTAAGAAAGAAATATTATCTTATGGTGTACATTCATTCGGAGGCTATTTGAACGTTTATATTGAAAACTATCTATTTAAATGCAACCTAGCTCTAAGAAATAATTGTATATGTTCCCTACATTTTCCTTTTTTTCTTACTTTTACTTTATCTTTTGGCCCTTCTTAGTGGTAAATTATTTATTTAGGTAAATGCATTTACTCAAGCAAGTGTTATATGGGTAAATGTTATTAAAGTACATTTATCCATATTTTTTTTGGCAGATGGATAAATAAGTGAATTTCCTCAAGGATCCTTTAATTTTTTTGGTAAGGACATTTTAGTCTTACATAGTTTAGTCAATTTCCCCCCTCTTGAGTCGGTAAAACTTTAATATTTAAGTTACCAAAAATTTATTTAGCCCATTCATTTCCTAGATTCTCAAGGGGTGGGGGGGAAGCTAGTCAATGGATTGTGGTTTCTATTGACCGATTTTCCCATGTTCATTTTCACGGATTCACGTGGGATCCACAAAAAAAGCCACTTTGCTTGGGTATCTCTCAACTTTATGGGACAATATTGTCCCTTCTAATTCACTATTTTTTCAAGGTAAAATGGTCATTGTCTCACTTGATGGGATAGTAAAAAAATATAAGAAATTCACTTATTTGGGCAAATGTTTCCCAAGAAATACTTATGCGTGTAAGTAAATTTACCCAAGTAAATGGTCAAAGAGAAAACCACCAAGCCTTGGCTCTGTTTGGTTTGTGGGAAGATTTGGGTGGGATGGGAAGGTGTAAAAATTTAACTTTCCATTGTTTTGTTTTATATGGGAAAATAGTAGGAAAAGTACCGCCATGACTTGATTCTTCGTCGGATTCATGTAAGATGAAGAACAAAGCTCCATGACTGCAACTCCCCTGTTATCGTCAACAAAGAGAGGAGTTGCAATGGCCTAACGATGAAACAAAAAGCACACCAAGAGAGAGAGAGAGAGGGGGGGAAAATGAGGGGATGAGAGAGATGGGAATGCTAAGAAAGATCGGCAGTGGCGATCAGAGAAAGAAAGAAATTCAAAGGGGGAGGAAGATGGGAAGAATAGGAAGAAGAAGAAGGTAAGGGAGAAGAGATAAGAGGAAGATGGGGGGAGAAACAGAGAGATGGAGAATAGATCAGGAGAGGAGATCGTTGTTCCTCTGCCACCCCTGTTCGAAGAGAGGAAGATTGTGTTTTAGAGATTTTACGGATTTTCGTAATGGGAGATTATGTTTTGATGCGCCCCTTGCACTAGCTCTCTTGCCACTGCCGCCTCCTCTGTTCGAACGGGGAAGGCAATGAACAATGTCCTTTGATGGTAATAGGGGAGCAAAAACGAAAACGAATGAGAAGAAGAGAGAAAGAGAGGAAGATAGAGAGTGGGAGAGAGAGAGAGAGAGTTTTAGAGATTTTACGGATTTTCATAGCGGGAGATTGTGTTTTGATGCGCCCCTTGCACTGGTTCTCTTGCCACTGCCGCCTCCTCTGTTCGAATGGGGAAGGCAATGAACAGTGTTTGGTTCAATGGTAACAGGGGAGCAAAAACGAAAATGAAGGAGAAGAAGAGAGGAAGAGAGAGAGAGAGAGAGGCCAAGGGGAAGGGACCGTCGTTGGTTCATCACCTTTGTCGAAAGAAAGGGGGATTGTTTTGGTGTGACCATTGGGATAGATAGAGGTTGAAGAAGAAGGCCCAAAATATTTTTTCGAGTTTTCCCACTAAGGTCGCACTGTTTTGGTGCGGTCCCGATTACACGATTTTGGGATCCTGCATCCCATGTTTTTCTCATCCCATCCCATCCCCCTATTTCCCTCAAAACAAATAAGAGAAAAAGGAATTTTTTGGAATATTCCATTTTCTCTTCCCCATCCCATAAACCAAACGGAGCCTAAGGGAAAGTTTTATTTTTATTGGACTCATACTTCATTAGTAAGGGTCTGTTTGATTGCTGGGAAAATTGGGCTGAGAAAGGTTGGGATGAGAAGAGGAAAAATTATTTTCTCAATTAGTTATAATGTGTTTATTTGTTGATAACATTTTTGTGAGAAAATCCACTTTCCAGTGTTTGTTTTGCAAGAAAATTTATATGATAAAAATCATGCTCAACTATAAAAATGCATGTAATTTATTTTTATGACAACTTGCACCCTCCAAATATATGATACGTGCGATTAAACTTGCCACGTGGCACTATAGTGTAATTAAACTTTCCATAAAAAACATGTGCGTGCATTCATAAAAGAAACTACTAAGAACTAAAATTGTTCCATTATTTGGACCTGTTAGTACATCAAAGAAGTTGCATTCAATAACCTATTTCATTCAAAGAGTCATACATACATCAATAGATCATTTGAATTTGTCTTTAACGTGTAATTAGTTCATTAATGCCAATAGTTCAACCTATTCATTCCATGTAGTCATAATCATCATATACCAATAAATCCATTGTGATAAAATATAACCATTCATTCCACCTAATACAAGTAGATTGACCATTGCAAAAAAAAAAAAGGGGACAACCATCAAATTGCCAATGCATCCCCAAAAAATATACAAAATGGATGCAAAGGCTCAACCATCAAAACAAGTTTTTGTCATATATAATTAGTACCTAGTTTGTTAATAAATGTGAGCTATAATAGTTTAGGTCTTTTACCCATCCCTTCAATATGGAGGCCCTAACTTCATTTGAAGCCACACCTTCCTCAGATGTGGCTCCACTCCGTAAAATGTCATAACTCGACTTTCAGATTCAGTTAATAAGTCATATGCTTTCATAAAAAATGGCACTAAACATTCTTCTAGGCTCATAACATCGGCATACACCTTTTCCTTACTAAATAAACTAAACCCTCTCTCAACTACAGATGCAAATTTCCCAATATGGGTAACAATGTCTTGCACTTGTTCATCAACAATTTAAGCATATGACTTCCGTTTTCCTAAAACTCTTCCTTCTACAGAACTACTTGCCTCCACTGGCCTTGCTTGAAGGTTAGGATCTCCAAAATTTTCAGCCTCATCAATGTCAACAAACACATGCTCAACATTCGGTGTTGCACTAGTGGCAGTTGCAGAAATTGCATTTTGCTTATTCAAATCCTTTGTTGTAAAGGCATAATTCCCAATTACTTTATCATTTCCACATACCAATGCCAATTGGTCATAGTTTGGAATGCTTTTTCGTCTGAACTGCTTTGCCTCTGGATGTGCTTACTCATTTACCATGGGAGTTCCATAATAAGTCACCTTTCATACTAATGAGTCATATTTCATACTAATTTGTAAACCAAGTGTTTAAAGTAAGTGTTGTTAATCTATTTTACCTCAATATATGTAGCCCAAACATCAAGTGTTGCATCTATTGTCTTGGTTGAATCATTTCACGCAAAGCCACTTTGATTCAAAAGGTTTTTTAATATTRCAAAATTCCGCTTGATTGTTTTCAGCCTATTTCGTATGTGTCCTTGAGTACATTCAACTGAAAACTTGGTGCTAATAGCACGTGCCACTGCAGTGTAAGCCGGTGATTTGAAACTTTTGTCAACATTGTTTCCAAGGTTGACCTGCTCATCAAGTGTGTCAATGAGTAAATTATCCATGTCTTGTGTCCAACTCATATTTGTCTTTCCATTCTTGTTTTCAGGCTGAGAGCTAAAAGAGTCCATTTCTGTTTCATGCCAATCAAATGAATAATGCAAATCAACAATATATATCCATAACACCAATTAACACAAGGTATTTTTGTATAAATAGCAATAGGCAATTAATAAARWCAAACATCATAATYARTTAAARAAGTGAGTGCACACAGAAAAAAGTTATACAACAAAAGTTATATTAGAAAGAAAGATTTAAACAACAGGAAGAAATTAATGTCGAGCCCTAGATTGATACAAGACATAATCAGCCCACATTTGTGTAGCTATTTCTTCTCTGAGACGAATTCATTTTCTTGATTGTTCATTTCTACTAGCTCGTTGAGATAGTTGGATGGGTTGTGTATTGTCTGCTCTATCATCATTTAAATCATCAATTCCTGCATCATCCTCAGTATCAACTGCTTCTTGATCATACTGACACATGACAAAATCATATGGATCCACACCCATGACATGATTGTATAAGATGCAACATGCAGGCACAATCTTCACCTGTGACTTAAAAGGGTAATGTTGCTGAGATACCAAAATTGGAAAGCATTTCTTCAATACCCCAAATATCCGTTCAACGACATTTCTAAGTGATGAGTGTTGAAGGTTGAACAATTCTTTTGGGTTCTCAAGTTGATGTGCACCACATTCCTTTAGATGGTATCGTGTGCTTCGATATGGTGTAATGAACCCAGTCTTTAATGAAAATCCAACATGTACAAGATAATATTTGTCTATTTAAAATATAAAAAGTTAGAAAACACGTATATACTTACCTATTAAATAAAAATGTCTCTTGTGCAAGTTTATTACTACCTTGAGGGACTTCTAATTTATGCTCTTTCCTCAGAGCATTGTTAAGCATGTGAGAGTCCGTTGCGACACCCTCCCAACCAGGTAATACATATGTGAACCGCAAATTAAAAGTGCATGCAGTAAAGATGTTTTGTGTGGGATAAGATTTACGACCTCAAAACCTAACAACATCAATAGAAGGGACTTTCACAGGGAGGTGTGAGCCATCGATTACCCTAACACAATCCTGCCAGTAGATTTAAGTTTTTTATTATTCATTTTTATGAGTGTATATGTCATAAAGAAGACTTTATCACTTAATTACCTTGAAATATGGCAAAAAATCATGTCAGTTTCTAATTTCCGGAGGTGTTTCAGTACCACTTGGTTGAATCAAGTACCTATCCTCCAAGCTCAATAATGCATTCAATATTGTTAGCGTAGAGGTATTTCTATCTTTTTACCTAGATTAATGTTGTTGATCTGTAATGTTGTGTTGGAACCAATGCTCCTAACTTAAATAAGGGCACATATGTCTTTTCAATCAGTTTTAATAATATAAGTTTTGTCTGGCCGACTGGGAGAAGGTTATGTTGACACTTCCAGTTCGAACCAGAATTTCCCCTTCTCTCTTTCTCTCTTTCTTCCACCTTTCTACCTCTTTCTACCTAACCGATCTCAGAYARATAGAATTCTAAGGCAGGCCGAATCATAACATGGTATCAGAGCTGATTGAATCTGCCTAGATTTCTATTCTCTGCGCATCCTATCTAGGGTTTCTCCTTTTTTTTTCTGCATTCGACTGGAGATAAGGGAAAGGGCTAAAAAGGAGTGATCGCTCTCTTCCCTTGGAGGTTTCTATGCCTCTAGTCAGGTCGTGTGTGGTTGGTTGCTGTAAGATTGTCCTCCCCTAATCGATGAAGAATAGAGGGCCGATCTGTGTGGTGCAATGGCTGTCGTGTATGGACTGATTTCCTGCTCATGTGGTTGTTACTTCAATGATAAGGTAAGAGATCTCAGTGCATGATATATGTTATGGATCAAATAGGAAGTGTGTTTTAGACCATATGCTAGGGCTTCAGACAGTAATGTGCTAGTGGTGAGATTTCAGCTGGTCGTAGGAGTAGGGTTTGTGGTGTAAAGAGCACACTTTTCAGCAACAACAAGTGCTGAAACTAGTGTGACAGGTGTGATCTAGTTGTGTGCAGTGTGCAGAATTCAGTGGTAATAAAATTCAGCAAGTGTGCAGAATCGGTGATAACATAATGGGAGATAACAGTGATTGTAAACCTAGTGTGATGGTGCCTACAGATTACCTGAATGTTCAGATGACCTCCATTAAACTAAATGGAGAGAATTATGTGCCTTGGGCTAAATCTGTCGAAGTCTTTCTAAAGGCAAAGAAGAAGGTAAAACACATAAGAGAGGAGAAACCATCCACTGACTCTCACGAGTATGAAGACTGGGAGCAAGAGGATGCTCAGATCATCACATGGTTGTGGAATAGTATGGAACCCAGGATTAGTGTAAACTTCATGTTTCTTGACACTGCCAAAGATGTGTGGGATCATGCGAAAAAATTGTATTCGGGTCAGGACAATACAACCAGATTGTATCAGTTGTATCAAGAGTACTTTAACTTGCAACAGGGCAATCAGAGTCTTGAGAAGTACTATGCCAACATGAGAAACATAAGTAATGAGTTGAATGTCTATCACCCTCTCACTTCTGATGTCAAGATTCAGTAGCAATAGAGAGAACAGCTTGATGTGACTAGATTTTTTGTGGGACTGAAGTCTGAATATGAACCAATACGGGCTCAGATATTAGGAGGATCAACTCTTCCCTCATTGGAAGAGGTATTTTCTCGACTCCGGAGGATTTCTATTGGATCTACTGAGAACTCTAATATCTCAGATAGATTTGCCTTTGTTGTATCGAGAGGTTGTGATACTCGAGAGTCGAGATGGAGCTAGGGGAGCTCAGTCTGGCCGTGGTGGT